TTACCCTATTCCCCTCTGTGTGGCCCTGAATGGCAGCCTTTTCATTGACAGAGTTGCAAGTAATAAAGAACTCTGCCTTTCATCTATCTGGGGGTCACTTATTATGTCCCACCATTGTCAGAAGCTAACAAATGTTAAAATACAGCCCTTACCTTGCAATCTACAAAGATTGAGATAATGCATGTAATCTATTTAGCACACTACTTAGTATATAGTTGTTGATTTTTTCCCCCTGACACAATTTCTTCCACCCAGTGAAGCCAAGATAAGCCACAAGATAAGAGAGCTCCATGGCACCATGGAGAGCAGAACCAGAAGAACAAAATTCTGGCATTGAAATTCATAAGTTAGAAAACTGTTGATCAGCTAGAACCAAGGCTTCCTCCCCCCCAACCAATCCCACTTTCCAGTAGGTACAACCCTCTGGGAGGCAGAACTAAGCGAAGAGAAAAATGAAAGATTCTGGTGGGTGTCCATGACTAGAATTTGATTCTATTTATAGAAATATGATTTTGTCCTGCTCCCTCCCTTAGGTCACATTTGGAATGCAAATGATTACCATTTTCTGCTAGAACCTCGGGAAGTGGCTTTACAGGATTTTACTAGTCCTTGGATCAGGGGTAATAGGGTAGATGTGTCAGCATGGAGAACCTCAGGTAACAGGATCACATTTCCAGGGTCTCAGAGTAGTGTGAACAAGCAAATTTTACTGTTTCCTCTGGGAAGGTCCAGGGGTTTCCAGGAGAGTTTGAGAACCATAGTTACATGAAGGGCATATGATAGTAGAATATGCGTTAGAGCAAATGACTGGACACCAGATGGAAATGTAGACATCTCAGAAGAAGACAGAGTAGAAGACTGCTCATTCCCAATAATCAGAGCTCTAGTGTATATTCTAGCACATGCCACCATCAGATATTGGCCAATTAGTAGACAGTTTCCTTCATTGTCATAATGCTACATCAGCCATGTGTCAGAAAAATTTACATTTACTCAATATCTACATGTGCTCTCTTGAACCTAGGCAAGACCTGGTGACTAGTTTTAACCAATGGACTGTGAGTAGAAATGCTGTGTCACTTCTGGGCTTTAGCAGTGAAACATCCCCATTGAACCCCTGGCCCCAACATTTTCTCTCTTTTGTGGCAATCATGGAAGTAACATGTTGAGAGAGATGAGCCACAAGATGAAGCTAGTCTGACACTTCAGGGCATCATTTGGAAGAAAACTGTCAGATCCACAGCAGAAATAGATTTTATGTGACAAGCCAAAGACATCTTGGGGTTAATTTATCATTCTTACAGAATCTTGCAGATCCTTATTCATGTAGGCCCCAGAAGTTAGATGTTACCTCCAAGATGAAGTGATGGGGAAAACCTTAAGTTGGCTGAACTATTTTGAATTCATTCTGAAAAATCCTTAATTGGTCAATTTATGTTTTTTATTAACAGATAAACTGGAGATTTGGAAAAACACTAAGTTTTGTTATAGGAAAAAATAAAATTATATTTAACACACATGAGTTTAAATATTTGAGGAAAAACCACACCTGCTACATCATTATTATTATTAGATAGAATATAGCATAAGGAATGAAGCATTTTGATGTCAAGTAGATTTATGTTTCAGATATGCCACATTTGAATGGCCTTGAACAAGCTTTTTAACCTTTGTAAAATTTTACTTGACTCGTTTATGAAAATAGGAAATTATTTTTCCTAACTTACAGTACCTAACTTACAGGGTTGTGGTGAACACTGAACAAGACAATAAATGCAAAGTTTTTAATACAGGGCCAGGCATATAGGGAACATTCAGTCAATGTCTATTAGTATTTTAATATTGTAATGGCTGGAAGTTAACACACACATAACAGCTTTACACTGAATAAAGGCAAGACGATTCAAAAAATTCCTGTAACACATGGAAGATGACATAAGATGTTTTAAGATAACTGGGATGAGATACTAAGAATTTATCTTCAGGGTATTTTATGAGGCATATATGACTCTTGCACTAGGAATCAGTAGGCAGCTAACAGAATGTCTTTCAACATTGGCATCTTTTCCTTGGTTTTTAAAAGAGACAGAAAACTTGGATGATTTCATTTGTAGAACATTCTATTTATCTTGGAAATATAAGTAAGTAGAAGTAGGTTTGCAGGATGGGTGTTGTTCTTTTTAAAATTTATTGGTAACTTGCAAGAGCAGGTACTTCAATATTCCCATGTCTCCTGTGTACCATTTGGTTTACAGTCTCCTGATTGCTATCTTGTGGTGAATTGTTCTCTTTATGGCTTTAAAATTGCTATCAGGGTGACAGTCTTCTGTTTCTAATCTTAAGACAGTTGTCTGGTGGCTTTGCTCCCCATGGTTTATCATACAGCTTGATGATCCTGTGGAGGGAAATACAATTAGCTAACTATGCACCTGCTCGGTTTACAATTTTATGAGTGTAACTTGTAGTGTGATATACATCTTGGGACTTGTAGTGAAATCACTTGAAAATAAAGATTCTGTATGAAATTCTGCAATATATAAATATATCTAAATATTTGATGTAATATATTTTCTCTATGTGTATGTACACATACATGTGCATGTATATACAGACAGTCCCCGACTTACAATGGTTTGACTTTATGGTGGTGTGAAAGTTATATGTATTTAGTAGAAACATACCTCGAGTTTTGAATTTTGATCTTTTCCCAGCATGTGGTATGATGTGCTGCTGCGGTGGTGGGCAGGGGCAGTGAGCTGCAGCTCCCAGTCAGCAACACAATCATGTGGGTAAACAACACATTTGCAATAATTTTGTGCCCATACAACCATTCTGTTTTTCACTTTCAATGCAATATTCAATAAATTTCATGAGATTAAACACACTTTATTATAAAATGGACTTTGTGTAAGACAATTTTGTCCAACTGTAGTATGTAAGTGTTCTGAGCAAGTTTAAGGTAGGCGAGGCTAAGCTATACTGTTAAGTATGTTTGGTGTAGTAAATGCATTTTCGACTTAAAATGGGTTTATTGGGATGTAACCCCATCATAAATTGAGGAAGATATGTACCCCACAGGGCTTGTAAAGTTAAACAATTGCAAATTTGGGAATCTTAGGGTGTGAAGCAGAATAAAATAGCTAAAGTCTCAATTCTGACATTCATCTTAGCTTCTAACCTTATTCCCTTATATACCTCACAATTTTCCTGTATTCATTTTCCTCTTACCATCATGATTTTAACTGAAGTGTTGACATTAGATCAGTATCAGATTCTACACCATAGTATTTTAGAAGACGTTTCCAGTGGCTATTTAGCATGAAGTGAACCCTAGAAAATTTACCAATTTATTTATAAATTAGGTAATTCATGTGATATTTCATTTATATTAACATTAATGTATGTAATAACATTGCTAGAGAAAAGTGTAGTTACATGCTGTATTCTCTATATAGGGGACAGATGGCGTCTTTACTAAGTAGATTTATAAGACCCTGAGAAGGGACCACAAACAGTGTAGGCTCTCCACATGGTCATTTAAATAAGGTTTTTTTAATTCATGACTATATTGCATTTATCTTTCTAGAATGAAAGTAATCTGATTCTCCGTTGTAGGTGAGTTGCTCCTGGGGAGGTGGAGAGAAGTTCTCAGTTGTATCAGAAGAGCAGCTGTCAACTGACTGATGAAGACAACTGGCGGTCTTGAATTGGGTCAATGGGTCAGCATAAAAGTAGGCTCCTATCAGAGTGAGGCTCCCCTTTGCAGAGGGAGGTGGAGGGTTAACAAAGCGGAGGAAAGAAAGATATTTAAGTTAGAAGCTTATACTTTGAGGGTGAGTACCACCACATAGTAATGGTCAGATGACTCTAGATTTGCAATTTTAGTCTTATTTTTCCTATCTGGATGACTAGCAGTATTCTAATAATACTTATTTCAAAACGTGTAGTAAGCCAAATGAACAAACATATTCAGAGTAAGTTTATAGATGGTAAAGCACAGTGTAATTAATAAATATTACAATTGCTATGAACTAACATGGTGCCACTGGTAATGTCAACTGTGCCTTAAAACATTGGAAACACAGTTGTTTCTTCCTCTTCCTTAGCCTGTCAATGGCTTAAAATTCAAAGTCCCTTCACATACCTCACCCTGGACACTATGCAATGACCATGATCTCAAATAAGTGGGTCTAAGCATCCCAGGGACAGGATGTGTGCATGTGCACGCACATTACAGGAGGTGCAATCACCAGGATACTTAAAGACTGATCACTGATCAGATTTAAGAGACCTTGCTCCAGTATATTATATTGAAAATATATTTTCTGTACTCTTTCTCAGCTGAATCATGTGTTACCAAAAAACCACTGTAGTTTGAAAGAGAATCGTGAATGAGAAATTATTGGTATCTTGAAGTTCCTACACTTAGAAGTGTGAAGGAATAAGAAACAATATTTCACAAGAAAAGTTAGGATGAGAAACTTTAGAGAGGACCTTGTTTGAAACTCACACATTTCTGTGGGCTTGTCTTAATCACCAGTCAGTATACTATCATCCCATTCCCTCTCCACCACCTCAAGAATGGGATTATCATTTGATATCCCTTATAACAAAAGACTTGCCAGAACCATTTTTTTGAACTGCACTGAGGGCAGAAAAGAATAAAATAAAAAATGTTATTTGGATACACCCTATCAAATATTTCATACTATTTTTCATTCTCAACAAACCAAACCAATCACAATTAAGCATAGTCTGCACAGATGAGTAAGTCTGTATGAATCAACAGGAATACAGGCTAGATGCTAAAAACATACGGAATGTATCACATTTCAAACAACCAAAGAGTTCCAAAGAACAATTAGTGGGATTCATAAATATCGAAAAAATTAGTCCATATTCACATTTTCACAGTATTTAATCTAGGACAGATCTTTCTTTCCCCTGATTGGTTTCCCTTACAACAAATGTCTCACACAGAAGAGAACCTTTGTTTCATATTTTATTGAATTTCATTTATATTAAATTAAAAATATATTTCTGACAGATTCATGTAACAAAAAGGCAGAACAGTTTTCAAATTGTTCAGCTGGGATGATTAGTATGGAATGAGGCAAAGCAGGTCGCATTCTATAATTGCCTTTACAGGTACAATTCTTTCCCAAGGGCCAAAAGAGGATCCTTGAGAACTAACTGAAAAGTCTAATTACAGAAATTTAAAATACCATTTGTCCCTCATTCTCAAATAACAGCAGAAACTGGGGGAAGGAAAGGGAATGGGGTGAAGGGTTGGAGGAGAAGAAAGAATAAGGGAAATTATACTAAAAATATACCTAACATTAAAAAAGTTAGTATGTGTTAAGTGCATAATCCTTCATAGATAAAATAGAAAAAAAATCAAAAGAACATTACACCACACACAATTGGCATATCCTATTGTGTAAGCGAGTGCAGAGGTTGAACATGTCACAATAGTGCTGAACACAGAATCACAAGTAATGTCAAATGATAACTTCCAACTGAAAAGCAACAATCACAAGTCAATTACTTATATACAAATCAACCCTAAAGACAATTATGTTCCAAATAAAGATGTCCACAAAAGAAAATCAAAGCAACATTACCCTTATTTACAAATGCAACTAGCCATGTCTTGAACAAGCTATAAAAATACTATTCACATTTTCAAACATACAGTAGTATTTTTTGTTTGTTTATTTAAAAAAGGCAGCTAACTTTGAACACTAGGATTTAAATGAAACATCAATGGCTTACCAGCTACATATGTTTGTATCCCTGTCCTTTGAAGATACTTGTAAGAGAGAGGACTTGTTTTCTCTTTACAAGTTAAGAACACAAGGAAATGAATACAAATGTATATAATACCGTAAGCCTCTGCTTTTTTCGTAAAGTGTCTCCCTTTATCACCTGAATTGATCTTAATCAACTGCTTTGATGTGTGTATGAGATGAGGGTTTGAGAGAAGATTGATTGTGGCTTAATTTTTTGTGCTATGAATTGTCTTGCAGATTGATCTCATTTTCATTTGATCTTGTTAGAAGTGCCCAAGAAAGAGAGCAACTAGTTACACCATGTGAAAATGCAGTCTCAACAGGCAGCATTGCAAGTCCCTGGAGCACACAGTGTGAGATGTAGACACACCAGCCAGAGAGGTGTGCATTCAAAGTTAGCTGCCCTCACACAGCTGCTCAGTTTAATAATCGACCCATTTAACAGCAGTACCAATTTATGCTACATATTTCAAAGTACCTTACTTTAAAAGAACAGCCTACATATCTACATTAAGAAAATAACTTTCGTAGTTGATTACTGGAGTAATCCCAAAAGGGTTCTTGGAGTGCGATGGTGTAGTCCCCTCACTCCCCCTTCCCAGCCCCTGAGAGATCCAGAAATATACAGGAAAATCACTCTCATTTTAGGGAAAAAGTACAACTGCCTCCCTTCATTAACTGAAGAATCTGGAAATGATATTGAGAACCAGGTTATGTCATGTATTTGGAGGTGTGATTTGCTTTCCTTCAAAAGGGCTACAGGCCTGGGAGAAACATCTGCACATCAGGAATAAAAATAGCAATAAAGACAATGTGGTTTGGGCAAGTTAGACTATTGCTCACAGGTATGAAACTATATTTGTATATTTGTGCAAATATAACCACTAAAATATACCTAACATTAAAAAAGTTAGTATGTGTTAAGTGCATAATCCTTCATAGATAAAATAGAAAAAAAATCAAAAGAACATTACACCACACACAATTGGCATATCCTATTGTGTAAGCGAGTGCAGAGGTTGAACACGTCACAATAGTGCTGAACACAGAATCACAAGTAATGTCAAATGATAACTTCCAACTGAAAAGCAACAATCACAAGTCAATTACTTATATACAAATCAACCCTAAAGACAATTATGTTCCAAATAAAGATGTCCACAAAAGAAAATCAAAGCAACATTACCCTTATTTACAAATGCAACTAGCCATGTCTTGAACAAGCTATAAAAATACTATTCACATTTTCAAACATACAGTAGTATTTTTTGTTTGTTTATTTAAAAAAGGCAGCTAACTTTGAACACTAGGATTTAAATGAAACATCAATGGCTTACCAGCTACATATGTTTGTATCCCTGTCCTTTGAAGATACTTGTAAGAGAGAGGACTTGTTTTCTCTTTACAAGTTAAGAACACAAGGAAATGAATACAAATGTATATAATACCGTAAGCCTCTGCTTTTTTCGTAAAGTGTCTCCCTTTATCACCTGAATTGATCTTAATCAACTGCTTTGATGTGTGTATGAGATGAGGGTTTGAGAGAAGATTGATTGTGGCTTAATTTTTTGTGCTATGAATTGTCTTGCAGATTGATCTCATTTTCATTTGATCTTGTTAGAAGTGCCCAAGAAAGAGAGCAACTAGTTACACCATGTGAAAATGCAGTCTCAACAGGCAGCATTGCAAGTCCCTGGAGCACACAGTGTGAGATGTAGACACACCAGCCAGAGAGGTGTGCATTCAAAGTTAGCTGCCCTCACACAGCTGCTCAGTTTAATAATCGACCCATTTAACAGCAGTACCAATTTATGCTACATATTTCAAAGTACCTTACTTTAAAAGAACAGCCTACATATCTACATTAAGAAAATAACTTTCGTAGTTGATTACTGGAGTAATCCCAAAAGGGTTCTTGGAGTGCGATGGTGTAGTCCCCTCACTCCCCCTTCCCAGCCCCTGAGAGATCCAGAAATATACAGGAAAATCACTCTCATTTTAGGGAAAAAGTACAACTGCCTCCCTTCATTAACTGAAGAATCTGGAAATGATATTGAGAACCAGGTTATGTCATGTATTTGGAGGTGTGATTTGCTTTCCTTCAAAAGGGCTACAGGCCTGGGAGAAACATCTGCACATCAGGAATAAAAATAGCAATAAAGACAATGTGGTTTGGGCAAGTTAGACTATTGCTCACAGGTATGAAACTATATTTGTATATTTGTGCAAATATAACCACTTCTCATGATATGGGTAAAACTCAATACAGCCTTGAAAAAAATGCCCTTAAACAGCAAAGGCAGAGACAAAAGTGGCAACATATTAGACAACATGGATTTTCATGGTAGTGAAACTTCCCTCATTATATTGTCCGTCAGATAGATGAATGATCCAGGAATTACAGGTGGCTCTCAAAGCTGAATAGCCTTTACCTTTAAGATAATAAGACTCTTCATTTGTGAAAAAAAGATTACAGCAGCTGTAAGATATTTGCATTCAAGAATAAACTAAGATAAATATGTAAATAAATTAATCTTCTGGCAAGACTAACTTCTCCTGATATGTAAGGTTTTTATGGAAGGATTAAATCTAAGACCCACCAAGTATATGTGCACATATGTGACTTCCAGAATTCATCACACAGCTAACTCGACTCAAATTCCTACAGAGAAGGACACAGTAAGAGAATTGATCTTCATGGGAAAACATAATTTGAGTATCATAAAGTATACTCTGTGTAGTAATTGACTGAGAAAATAATTTAAACAATGTCCAAATTGTTAAAATCTTTTATGGAAAAATCAGGCATTTGAGTGCAGAGGCTAAGTCAGTATTTCACAAAGCAGGGTGTGGGACCTCAGCGATGCACTATGGCTTAAGGGAGGTACAGCATCAAGAGGGCCACTTTTAACTAGGTTGGTTGAAGGGTAGAAAAAGAACTAGGTTGGTAGAAAAGAGGAGAGAGATGGTTATGCCAATGGGAAAAGAAGTAAAGATGGTATTTTTCTCTAACATCCAGAGAGAAATGAATTTTTCTGTGATACCTAAAAAGATAATCACTTGTAAAGCTATCAAGGAGTGTTTTCCAGGGGAAGCATGTGAATTCCCCCATGAAACTGGAGCTTAGAGTCTTTTGAGCTCACAACTCGAGAAGTATTTCCTTCTGCCTAAAATTTCACCTGGTCAGGAAGAGGTGAGGGAAAAGTGACCCAACCTACATTGTTGCACCTCTACTAAATCGGTGAGACTTAACCAGGGTGTCTGAAATTTCTGCTATTTTATAGAGACTTTTCTTTTTAATGAGAAGAACAGAGCAGCCCCTGGTGTTAAAAGCCCTTGGCCCATAAACACGGGTTTAGGACCCCACATTGTGCTCTCAATAGCTTCATGTTTGCAACTGTGGAAGAGAACTACTCTTGCAGAGGCATCTGTCTCTAGGACTGGAAAATTAATTCTACCCAGAAGTATACATCTGGCCCCTTTGTAATATCAATAATATCACGGTCTACCCTGATACAGTTATTTTTAAATTACACTTAATCTACTCTCTGCATAATGTTCTTAAGCAAATAGTAATCAGGAGACATGAGTCTGCCTGTACGTTTCTACCTGGGCACTAAAGCTGTCCTGCAAAGTCCATATACACAGAGGTACAGCAGAATTCTCTGACCATAGCATATACAGTAGAAGTTAGTTTATCTGGCTTTTAAATAAATAGAAGCTCCTATTCCCCAGAATTCTTATTCCCCATAAAAAATCATCAGTCTAATGACCAGAGAACAAAATAATAGAAATAAAGCCGTTTGAAATGCTTAGGTTGGCATTTATTTATGAGAATATTGTCAACTAATTCCCAGTTTTTGTTCTTGGAGATGGGAGGGTATTGTGGGAAAAAGACGTGTTACAAATGTATTTTGTTTGTTTACTAAATGGCACCACTCATTCTTTGTCTCTGCACAAGGTAATAGAACACTGACATTTCCTTGACTGCATTTTGAAGACATCTTGCTTAAAGTCATATGTAACCTATTGCCCATTAAACTGGTGGTGTTGGGAAAACAAATTTTTAAAAACTCCTCTTTATACTTAATACATTTAAAAAATGGTAAAGGAGTAAGAGAATGAGAAAAAAAACAACCTTAATTGTAATATTTCAAAGCAAGTTTTCACAAATGGAACCAGCTCTTTATAGTCCTACTTTCAGCTAAAACTAACAAATAACAATTTTAAACGGCAAACTTATTTTTTACTATGCAAAATCCTTCCTACAGCTTCAAATCTTTCACTTTATCATGTTACATTATATTTTGTGGTTAGTTTTCTAGCTTGATTTAATAATATCAAAATCATTTAACACCTGATAACCTAACTAAATCTACATCTTATAGCATTATTAAGGTTCTGCCCAGTTATATACATGCTTTCATGATCAACTTTTCTATTACCTTATGAACTACATATACTAGTTAAATAATCAACATTTATAGATGGATGAATAATTCAAGTTTTGAAATAAAGTTTAGATAGCTCTAGAAAAACACGTATTTACATCCTTCCCTGTCGGGCTTAATTTTATTTTCCTTTTTTCCTTTTGATACTTCAGAAAGCACATTGGTAGCCCCTATGACTTCCTGTAGCAGTAGAGCCTCACAGTCCCTTTACTTGTCTTGGGTTTCAGAACATGCACGATCTTCAAGCCATGACCTGCTTTTAGAAAGTGTTACACACTGTAACACTTAGAACACTCTTTCGGCTCTTTATCTCAATGGACAGGTATTCAGCCATTCTCCTAGATCTTCTAGGAAAGGATCTATTTTTAGTTCCTGTTTACATAGAATTTGATTCTTGCATTGTTTTTTTATTCTATTTTAAGAATACTACTCAAGAAAGAACTCTTATCCTAACCTAATCCTAACTCTTATCCTAACCTAATATCCAGAAAACCACTTGTTACTCCGTAGTCCAAGAACCTCTTTGTGGTGCAGGATGCTTTATGACTCTGAGTCTACCCTGGTTTAGAGGACATCTTTTCTCACCTAAGAACTACTTCTTTAGCAACAATTTTGTTTTACAGTTTTTCCTTACCTGAAAATAGGATTCCTCAAGATAGGTGAAAGCTACAAAATTTGGTGATTTAAAAAATACAGTCTGTATAATTTCACTCTTAATTTTCCTCATTTACTCAACTGGTTCTACATATTTGCACTGATACAACAAGCCTCTGGAATCTGATATTCCAATGCCCTTTTCAGGCATTAATTAGTATTTTAAAATTTCACTTTACTGGCTTAAATAAATTATTCTTTTGAACAAATGAAAGTTTTTTTTTCTTCCCTTTCATATACTCTGGTATGTTTCCTAAGGGGAGAAAAGTAAAACAAAAGAGAAACCCTAGAACAATGGAAATCAAGTTTATACTACAGAAATAATTCAAAAGGAACAGTAAAGTGGAGTTCTGTGAAGCATTTTGGGTCACTGCGGATTATATTTGCTTCTATCTCCAGTGATTAGTAGTAGGTAACCTGTTGTATAAGGAGCTCATGTACTGAGGATGAATTAGAAGATTACATTCAGTGGATACATTTCTGTGACCTTAACAGTAAATAATTTTTCTTTCCTTTACCAAAATAAGTGATTCTGCTTGGAATATCCCAGTAGAAACCATCTGAATATTGTAAATCAAAAGAAAAAAATAAAATTCTAGTATCCAGTAAGGGTGCTCTCAGTGATGAGTTGGTACAGATTTATCTAGAAAAAAAGGCTCTTATTCAAATTGTCATAAATACTTATGTGAGGTCTACTTTTTCTGGAGGCTTTGCTGAATGGATGGGACTGCTGTGAGCTGTTAGGCTGCGGCCCCTGAATCATTCTGCGTCTTCAACCATGGAAAGTTCATGGTTGAACGTCACTACAAGGGATCTTACAAGCCCCTCCCTCGCTCCACCTCATTCTTTCAGTTTACCTCACTTCTGATAATTTGGGAAGAAACTAATCGCAACACCTCCAAGATTCTTGGCCAGAGACTAACATCTGCTGTTGATTTAATGGTCAAGTTAGAATCCCTATCAGCCACTAGCCAGTGATGTAATATCCTAAAACAGTATATGTTTTTATGGTAACATTGGAACTGTTTGATTTGTCAACCTCAGTAGCTTGTACGATGTTCGATTAATGTCCTAAATGAGTTCACTGAAGATCTTTTAACAAACAGCTGGTTTTATGATGACTGCTCATAAAATTATGGAGAAATTCAAATGTCACCCCAAATAAATTGAGACTGTAAAATCTTTAAGTTAGGGGTAATATTACATTTATCTGGGTGTTCCCCACATAACACAGTGCTTTTAGTAGGCTCTAAATAAATAATGGTTGAAAATATAAAGAGAATTGATGAATGGATTTACTTTTTCAAAATAGGCAGAAACAGATTTCTTTGCACGTCTTTTCTTTAAATTCTCTGCTTTGCCAGTGGACATTTTTGGTCTAATTTTGTTCTCTTAGGCAATAAACTTGAATTTAACCTCAATATTTTAACATTAGAAAATAAATATTTTTTTTAAATCCAAATGACTTCAAGCTCATTTTCCTAGGAAAGAGACATACATCCAGTTTTCCTAATTACTGACCTGAGGCTCCCTTTTCCTGGAGACTCATTCCTACTATTTGTTCCCATTGCTCATCTTAACTCAGTATATACACTTTTAAAATGATACATAATAAAGAAGGTTCTAGAACACGGATGCTGTGTTTGAAGAAAAAGTTATATAAAGTATCAAAAGATTAATATGTTAGGTATTAAAATAATTACATGAGAAGATTTTTCACATTTATTTACAACTTTTGACTCAAGGACCTATCTATAAGTTGCAAATGTTTGTGTATTTCATTTTTATTATACCAATTTATGTGCAAAGTTACCTTCCTCTTAATATAAATAGAGTCTCATACTAGAAATTCCATGGAATTCAAGCCAGTCCTTACTTGCATTCCTTCATAGGGAAGATGCAAACTGGACAACCCTCCTCTCGTAACAAATGTGATGTCACACGTGGACAATGTGCTGGCCCTCTCATCATCATCCCTGGATACTGTTCCAAAGTTCTAATTTGCTTGGTTTGGCATGTCCACAGTCTGTCTTTATCTTAGCTCTTTAAAAAAAAAAAAATGTACTTAAATTAGTTATTTTGCTGGTTGCTTCTATATTGCTTCATTCAAAATCCAAAATGGAGTTCAGAAAGAGAACAAATAAAATTATAGCGTAAGTGCAAACTACATTTCTGAGTATCTGCCTGGTAGACATACCCAATCCAGTGTGTTTCTTCCAGTTCAATGGGTTTCCCCATTGGACCACCCGTGAAAGTGTCAGTAGTTTTATGAACCACACAGTACTGTCTCTTAGTTTCCCTTCTATGCTTAACATCACCAACTGCCTATCAAGCACTGTTACTGATGGAGGACAAGAAAATGTTCAAGAACATACTGGATTGGAGGGCTATATATTTAATAGCGTAAAACATGAAAGTTAGATTTGATGCAACATCTGACTAATATCTTGGCCTCCACTTCTAATTTTAAAGGCTGGGTACTTAAAATGGTGGCCATTTCACCATATTAAAATATGTATTTTATAATTTTGTCAGTACAGGACAACACAGAAGACTTGATGTAAAAATATTTGCAATTAGAAATTCAAGCCAAAACTAGGGGAGAAAATAATATGAAATGACAGATCAAAGCAAAAAAAATACAAAACAAAAACAAAAAAAGCCTTCCAAACATAATTACTGGTTATAATTTTGACAGAGATTCAAAAATTATAAAAGCTTAACTGGCCACTCTTGCCTGTCAGGACAGAAAGTGCTGGAGAAAGAAATCGTATTCTCAATCTCAGTTACTATCGTATGTTATCGAAAAGGTTATCCTTTTGTTCTAATAAAAATTTTATTAGGATTTCAGGGATGCTGAAAATGTACACATCAGTTCCTGCAGATAGGAACAGATAGCATGGGTCTTTTAAGCATTTGCATTAAAAAATAATAAAAAGTTGAGAACTAGTTTGATGGCAGGCAGTATTGCCTTGTATTCGTGGGTCCTTTTCTGTTTATCTCCTGACTAACCATACGGGGAAATGAAGAAACAGTGTGGTTCCTCCTGTCTTTCTCTTTCAGTTCTTCCTTCTAAGGTTCAAGTTAGATAAGTACGTAACTATCATTGCGTCTCTATGTCTTCCACTGGGAAGTGTCAGAACTACTGGCCTTGGGAGTAGAAGGAAGACTCTAAGAGAAAGAGAGGCGGTGGGGACATTGGAGCGGGCGTGGCTCCCCCTGAAAGCCACGGCTGAGCTCACACCACAGTATTTCGGTGTCTGTAGGGTGGAGGAGGCAGCACAGTGCCTGGTTTCAGCGAGAACTCAGAGAGGTATTCAGGATTCTCTGCCACAATAGGCCGGATCCGCCCATTTTGTTTATAAAAATATTTTGTGCTGTACTCCTGCAGATAGTCTGGGTGCTGCATGGTGCTCCGCGGAGGGAGGCTGTGGTTCCAGTAGTCGGGGTTGTCGAATGCCTTCTTGGCCTTCTCGGGCACAGACAGTACGCTGTTCTTCAGGTACTCGGCGTTCCCCAAGGCGCTGGCGAAGGTGTTGAGGTACAGGGGCTCATTCACATATTCATCCTCTGCCTTGGGTGGACCACCGGAAGCATTGTGATATTCGGGATTATCCAAAGCTTGCAGGTCTCCGTTTTTTCTCCGAGAAACAAAAGGGTTCTCCTCCACAGGATTCAGGTATTCTAAAGGAACACAAAATTATCATTTAACATCTACTTTCTGGAAAATGTTCATCAGACCAAGATTATACTGAAAGGTTAGCCTCTTTCTCCACAGATTTGTTTTCACAAAATCGATTTTGTTTCCTACTACCGTCAGATGAAAAAGGAGCCAGCGGGCCAGATATGTTAATAATTAGAGCACCAACAGGGTGGGGATCGGAGTGCCTGTCCCTTACATTGTTCCTCTTTCCTTGTATTGGAGTTTGTCTCTCCTACATATAAGGCCAGTTGTTTAAAAGCTTCTCTTTCCTGAAAATCAGTAATTTATGTTGGAAGATAAAACAACCTATCAGGGTTAACTAGCCTTTAAATTGTGAAGAAATGGGAATTTTTTAGAGGATATTAGAAAATAAAAAATATCTATAGCTTAATTCCATGCCGAGATGACTGGATAAAGTGAAGGCATAGTGTTTTTTAGTCTGTATAATTTGCTATAAATGTGTGTATCAGTAACAAGGATTTGGCTATAGATGTTCCCAGAAAGCTTTAAACTCAGGAAAAGAAACATCTACAGAAAAGACTCAATTAAAAAACAAATCTGGTAGACACTAAATGTGCCTCCAAATTGACTTGTTTAACAATACATATGCTTAAAAATAAAGTATGATTATAACATTTATTTCCAATGGCTAATTACAATCATAAAGGGATTGAATCATATGAAATCACTATTTATAGATTGAGACCAGTCATACAGTAGCTATTTTTTATGATTCAATCTAATACATTCATCTAGAATAGGTTTTGGCCCAGAAATTTTTTAAATGCTTCTAATTAATGCTGCTCCCCTCGAGTTTCATTCCACCTTTATGTCTATAGTCCAGACTATATACAGATATATACACGATAGACCATCTTTTGGCCTTCTCTTTTGGAGTACACACAGAGATGACCCCTCAGCTATTCCCATTTTGGTACTGAGGAAGGGAGAAGGCATAATTGTTTGTTGAGATGCCTCCATTCTGAAACAAATTTTCTATCCTCTATACTTAGCCTGACACGTAGACAGAAAAATCTTGTCAATCCAGGGTTATTTTTCTCTGGATATCGTTAAATATTATAGTTCAGTAATATAGCCTGCTGGATATAATTAAGTATTTAGTACCATGTGCATGTTAAAAGACAGTACTGACTATCCCATCATATACATGAATTATAGCTCAGTAGTTTACTGTATTTATAGAGCTGTATTTTTCCTTCTTTATGGACAGAAAACTGATGTTAAATGCTAAAGAAGGACACAATTAGTGTTGAACTAGAATTCATATCTTCTAAATCCTATTGAGTAATCTTGTTCTCCTGCACTGCTTTCATTATTGTCCCTACAGCAATAAGCTGAACTTTTCACTTCATAACAAGTTTTAATTTGAATGATTCTCAAAGCTACAGTCATCTTATGAAAAATGTATGCAAAAACTTATAAAGAAAAAGGAATTTGATTTTTCTTATCAGATTCTTGAGACTTCTTAATTGAGAGTGTAGGAATGTCTGCACTAAAATTCTCTACTTTCTGAGAACTAGGCTATAACCTTATAATCAATTATATAAACCTATATAACCGTTTATGGAAACTTGGGTCTGTTAATATGCAGTGACAAAATCTAGGGGTGGTCTACAGTTACTTAGTCTATACAGACTGATTTACCTTTCTCCTCAAAGGTTCATGTTACCTTTTCTCAATGCAAGCTACTTATCAACCGTCGCAATGCAAATGTGTATAGCCAAGCAGTTAAATAGAAAGGAATAACTTCACGGTTCAGTTGAAAATCTTCCCAGAGAGTATTCCACTTTCAGAGGGATCTGCCATATCTTGTCAAAATTTGTATTTGTGCCACTATTCGGCTATTATAAACACCCTGTTCTTCATTACAGTAATATTTTTATGTGTATCTAGATGGACATATTTTAATAGAATATTTACAATATGCACTCAGGAATCCCTTAATTGCATTTATAAAAATGAATATAACCATATTTTAAAGAACATAATGGGCCCTCATAGAGAGTCTTAAAATAGAGTTTACTGTTGCCGCTGAAGACTCTGAGACACCATCATTAGTTTTAATAATAATCATCCATCTTTTCCTTTTTGTTAACAGAAGGAAAGAAGCTTTTTCAAAGCTTCCTGTTAACATAGAAGGAAAGAAACTTTTTCAAAACTGAAATATTATTTAAATGTTTAACATTTCTACTAGTAGCTTTGTAAAGTCACTACTGTGCTTTGTAAAACCATAAGCTATGAATATTTTTAAGATGCAATGGTATACCTACAAGTATATGCAGGGTCAGAACTTCAATTCTTGAAGTGTGTCACACAAGAAATAATTTCCTGTAATAAACTACATCATTTAAATGACATCATTTTAAAGAATCAACCAAATCTTTTATTGGTGCCATCAAAAGCTTCAGACATTTTCTCAACAGTACCAGTCTTTATTATATCTGCAAGGGCTCCAATAAAACAATGGTTCTGGTCTTGGTGTATGCTACACCAATTATTCCAAAAAAGAGTGCTTCTCAAACTTGATTATGCATAAAAGTCACATGGGGGCCTTGTTAAAATACGGGTTCTTATTTAGGTAAGGGCTGAGATTCTGATTTCTACAAAAGGCTCACACATAATATGGATGCTATTGACTCATATAATATCCTGCAAATAGCAGCAGCCTAGGCCTTTCTTGGTCACAATTATTACATAACCCAGTGGTTTGGCAATTTCCTTCCTGTACTTTGCATATTTTGATGGAGGTGAACTTCCAATGGCAGTCACTTCTGAACATTGCCTTTGTACCTTGTTTGGGTTTGTCTCGCATAGGGGTCATGTACCCTTCTTCGTCCAGCTCTCCTCGTGGGCTCCGTTCTGGGGCAAACACCGTGGGGTCAGCGCTGTACCTCTGAGTGCTGCTGTCTTCTTGGATGTGGGGTGCCACTGGCTTGCGCAAAGTGCCATTACAGCAGGAGTCATCAAAAATCTCAGCTGTAGCCCCCTGAGCCACTGGAGCTTCTGGAATGGTGCTGGTTGTGGCTCTGTAGGGCACAGGCACTCCTTGTTCTGCAGCAAAACCCCCATCTCGGTATACAAACTGGTTCTGTCAATAGCAGAGACACATATTTATTATTAGGACCAGTTGTAGAAAAGACTTTTAATAACCAAAGGATTTGGAAGCTTGTCTTTCAGAGAAAAGTCTGAGTTTTTGAATCGGGTTTTCCCCCGTAATGGTTAATGAATTCGAGTTACAGACTAGGAACACCTATTCCAATTTTTCTTAAAAATTAAATCTCAGTAAAACAATCTGGAAACATATTTTTTAATTTTACTAACCACCTAACACATGATTTAATAAAAAGCATTTCTTGACTTTGAAATTGCCTATTTTTGATATACATTGCCACAATTGCCTACTTTTCATATAAAATTCAAAATTTATGAAACATTCACATGACAAACAGCAATGTCATAAACTGTAGACAATTGCCATTAAGAACAGAAACACAGCGATGCCATTGGAATGGTGTTATTTGCTTATTGTTTCTATTTCGTTATTACTATGACTTTGAGTCTCCAGTACCTAACTAGAGAACCATCACTGAGATGCTGACATTTTTTTAGCACACAACCTATAATCATGGAAGTAAAGATAACCTTCCATAGTCCAAAAATTTGAAACATAATTTATGAGCCCAGGTGATCCTTCAGGTAAAAATCAAAAGCTACAGTCTATGTAGGATATTTCAATTTTGGAATATCTACTGAGATAAAAGCAGGTATATAACCTACAGAAAATTCTTGACTCACTGTTGGCAAAGATAAAATGAGGAAAGTATGGGGAGACAAGAGAGAAGAAACATGGAGAGCAAGACTCAAAATCCTAAAAGATGAAGGTTGATTGTGAAATACTTACTCCTGACATGGGGGTGTAGGCAGGAGGAGGGCTGTGTCCAATTTCACTCTAATAGGAAAGAAAAATGGAATGATGGATATAATAAGAGGTAACATGAATGAAAAAACAAAAACAAACAAAACAAAAAGAAAAGCCACATGACTTGTATGAATCAATGGGAGAAATCATGCACAACAGTGAAGTCTGCCAAATGGTTAAAATCTTATGCATTTTGATTATAGGTGAGTTCATTTATGTGTTTTGAGGATATTAAATATTTTAATACCATCCCTACTCTTTCTGTAAATGAAGAACCATTTCTTTCCTTACATTTTAAATGACTGAAATGGAACTACTCTCCAGCCTTAACTTTTCTCTTGTAAAAAGAAACTTATCTAGGAGATAGAAGTGGATTTCAGTTTGCTGTGAATAATTTTTGCTATCCAGTTACATTTTTTATACCATTTTAGCAGAGTATCAACTTCTTTGTTTCTCCTTAAAAAAAGAGACATATTATTTTCTCTTTAGTCTTACTTTTTTGTAAGTTAAATGGAAGAAAATCTTGAACTATCAATTCCTTTTATGGAAATATGCTTTAGACATGTTACTTTCATGTATTTAAAATCAGTTAAAATCAGATCTCAGTTAAAAAAACAAAAAGACATCAGTATTCTTATAGCTTAATACTTCAGCCTATGGTTAAAATAAAAGTGAATATCAAATATTATAAAATATTCAGGATAATGCTGCTTAGGGCAAGTAGACACATTTCTTGAGAACCTACTATGTGACAGGCATTTTCCTAGGTACTACAGATAATAATGCAGATAATTCAACAATGCAGTTCATTTTGTGAATTTTTCATTCCCCACATGCACTTATGAAACATAGCTAAATATTATTCCAGGTTCATGTTTTCACAATTTACAGACTTATAAAACAATCTAAGAAGGATATGGTTCTATGGAGATGAATTATTTAATGTAAATTAATAACAACTAGATAATATAATTTCCCTTAATTAACTTACTCTGTTGGGCTAATCAAGAGACAAGTTCTGAACTCCTACAAAAAGTTTACATTTTCCCCATAACTGAGTCAGTTATGTGATGGCATAGAAAATATTCCTCTCCTTACTTCTCTAATAACACAGCTAATGATATGTTGAAGATTATGACATGGGAAGTTATAGATATAGTTAATGGGCAGTGTACAGGGAGTGCTATTGTATAATAGATTGCTTAACAATTTGTTAGAAACTGAGCTCCAGTCCCAATTACAAGTGATGTGGTCAATCAGAAAATATCTCAGATCCTTATTTTCATCATTGGCCTCTCTACCCTATTCTTAGTGAAGGCAAAGTTAAGTGTTACAAAGTTAAACAAACTTTGTAAGCTCTGCACTTTTATACAAATTTAAAGGACAAATACATTTAAATATTCACATCTGCTAAATCAGATTTTCAAAGTCAAGCAATCAAAATGCCAAAGCTGATAGAATAGATGGAGAGATGAAGTCAGCAGCATGAGTAGGGCAGTGGAAATCTCCTCTAAAAACCATATGTATTTTTGAAAATACAACAAATAAAAACTACGCCTAACAGAGAGACCCGAAGATACAGTACAACAGCCAGGCTACAACTACACCTGCAAGAACTCAGCACCTCACAAAGGGGGTAAGATACAAGCAGCGACCCGGTGGGATGAGAGTGCTCCCCCCACCCCAGCTCCCCAGTGAGAGGAGAGGAGTCAGAACTGGGAGGGAGTGGGAGCCCAGGACTGCTAAATAACCAGTCTAAAGTGCAGACACACATTGCATGGTGTGCTGGATATTAGGGAAATAGAAAAGTAAACTTTGTGAGCTAGTCCCCGCAGCCAGGTCCACTGGGACAAAAGAAAAGCAAGTGCTTTTTGAAAGTCTTAAAGGGACAAGGGGCTTCAAAGATGGACAGAATCCTCCTGGTGCACTCAGCCCAGCAGCTGGGAATCCTGGAGAACATCAGGCGCCCTAAACCCCTGGGTGGAAATGCAGCTCTGAAGCCCCTCATGTGATACACAGCCTGCCATTCATCCCCCCTCCTGCATGGCCCTGGAAGAGCAGCCTGGGAGTGGACGCGTCCACAGCATCAGCCCAGAGCCTCCTCTCAGCATGCAGCCACCTGGGCCAGACCCAGGGCCACTGCCAGCGAGCAGCTGCCCAGCACAGACAGAGGTGTGAAGGGGCACCATTCTCGCAGGAGAGCACACTGAGCACACCTGCCTCTCCCCACAGAGCTCTGGGATGCCCCACCTGCTGTGGCTCAGGAAATTAACCTGGAGCTTGCTCCCTATGTGTGGGTAACTGGTACAGGCAGTGGAGAAGGGCAAGGCAACCAGCTAGCAGGAAGGGACTTTGTTCTCACAGCTAACACATGTGCTACCTGCCTATGACTACCTCTATCACCACAAAAAGGCAGAAGAATTTGGTGCAGTCCAGAATCACCCAGACAACCCCTGAGAGAGGACTGGGGGAGATAGATTTAACCAATCTTCCTGAAAAAGAATTCAAAATAAAGGTTATAACCATGCTGATGGACCTGCAGAGAAATATGCAAGAGCTAAAGGATCAAGTTGGAAGGGAGAATACAGAAATAAAACAATCTCTGGAAGGACTTAGCAGCACACTGGATGAGGTACAAGAGTCCATTAATGGAATATAAATCAGAGAACAGGAATAAAGAGAAGCTGAGGTAGAGAAAGATAAAAGGATCTCCAGGAATGAAAGAATTAAGAGAACTGCGTGACCAATCCAAACACAACAATATCCACATTATAGGGGTATCAGAAGAAGAAGAGAGAGAAAAAGGGATAGAAACTGTCTTTGAAGAAATAATTGCTGAAAATTTCCCCAAACTGGGGGAGGAAATAGTCTCTCAGACCATGGAAGCCCACAGATCTCCCAACACAAGGGACCCAAGGAGGATAACACCAAGACATACAATAATTAAAATGACAAATATCAAAGAGAAAGACAGAGTATTAAAGGCAGCTAGAGAGAGAAAAAAGGTAACCTACAAAGGAAAACCCATTAGGGTATCATTAGACTTCTCGACAGAAACCTTACAGGACAGAAGAGAATGGCATGATATATTTAATGTAATGAAACAGAAGGGCTTGAACCAAGAATACTGTATCCAACATGACTATCATTTAAATAAGAAGGAGGGATACAACAATTTCCAGACAAGCAAAAGTTGAGGGAATTTGCCTTCAACAAACCACCTGTACAGGATATTTTAAAGGGACTGCTCTAGATAGAAGCACTCCTAAGGCTAAATAGATGTCACCAGAGAAAATAAAATCACACCAAAGAAAGCAGACCAACCAAATACTAACTAAAGACAAAAATTAAAATCAACCATGCACAAAAGCAGTCAAAGGAAACACAAAAAAGTACAGATTAAAACACCTAACATAAAGAATGGACGAGGAGGAATAAGAAGGGAGAGAAATAAAGAATCACCAGACTGTGTTTATAATAGCTTAATAAGCGAGTTAAGTTAGATGATTAGATAGTAAAGAAGCTACCCTTGAACCTTTGGTAACCACAAATCTAAAGCCTGCAATGGCAATAAGTACATATCTTTCAATAATTACCCTAAATGTAAATG